ACTTCGTGAGTAAAGTAGAAGTTGGCATGGTTAGAGAGCCTCCCCTCACATTAGTTTAGCTTTGTCCAGCATTCACACACACATGATAGCAAACACACACAGCATTAGAAGCAGACAAATGCATCAAGGTACAAGAGAGATGAAGTCACCAGTCACAATACAACTAGTTCGAGAAGAACATAATGGAGAGAGAGAGGCTAATAAGGCAAAAGGCTTTCCTAACATGGTCAACTGTCTGCACACATCCTCCAAATCCATCTGTCCCGGTCCAGTCAATAAAACAGCGTAGATGCCTGGTGTACTCCCCCATCTGTTGTAGAAGACTCTATACCACTGTCTTGTGTGGTGAAAATGCAATACAAGTTTATTGAACTATATCTGTGGCACTATAATAGCACAAAGGAAGTGCTAAAATGTTTACATTTCAGGATATATTTTATACTCCTTTTACTCATTTATGCAAAACAGTTGATTTACATATAATATCCCCTTCATTCCCACTTAAATAACCTTGCAGACATTCAAAACGCTGAATTTCCAGAAGGCAATCTCTTATTTAGTCATAGCCAGCTACTTGGAACAAGATAACCCAGAGTTTAATTTGCCACAAGCGTTCACACATTCTTGTTTACCAACTCTCTACAAGGGTGGGGCAGCTGAAGGAACCAGACCATAACCACTGACTAAAACCATGTTCAAAATCCCCCAACACTGGTAACAAATACACCAGCCACTGACACGGACTCTGGGCTTTGATCTGCCTAATTTCCCTTCCTTGCTATATTATGAAGTCATATAATGGGTAAACACCTCAAACACCTAATACAGCCAGAAAAGTAAAGTAAAATGGAAGGACCAAACAACTCAAAACATAAACACCTTTGTTAATCTCATCACATGAATTTGAAACATTTTGGGGGTCAAGACTTTAGTTGTCATGGTTAACAATAGTGCTGACCCTAGTACAAGTTTTCAACTAACTTTAGCAGTTAATGTATTTCCACAAATGTTATATCATCTTTATTCTGTTTTGAGGAAAGGTGGCACAGACCAGTGTGTGAACGTAAGAGAGTGCGAAATAAACAAGTCCACACAGAACCCTTTTGCTTGAAATGTCCAAATTTAATTTTGATTTGGTTTGTTTTGTAGTGAAAATATTCATAAATACACAACACTAATGTAAGCGGTCAATTCTAAATTTGACTTCTAAGGGTCCATTCACTCCAGCCCCTGCGCTAGATCACACAGCAGCTGGTGTGCGGTGCCTGGCACAGTGTTGATGTGCCGATCCCAGCACACGATTTGCTTTTTTTTTTAAAAAGAACTTTATTGAAATATCACAAGTGACATATCATTTAGTTCTATGGGCAGAGCGTGGTGCGAAGCGGTTTTACAGCTCAGCATCGCATCCCTATGCATTGAAAAAAGTACTGCATGCAGGACTTTTTTGGAGTGCACACCACCGCAACATTGCCTTGTCTTACGTTGGGGCTGTGCTGGAAAAATGGCCAGCGGAGCCCCCAACGCATCTGGTGGGAATGGGACCTAATACTAGAGCATACCACCATTTTTACTGTCTGTCTTTCTTTTCTGTAGGTACTATTCATTTCAAGAATATTTTTTGTATTATTGTTTTAAAGTCCATTTCCACCTTTGTAAGCGATTAGCATTTATTGTGATAATGTGGAGGTGCAGTGATGATGTATATGTGAGCACATTTTCATGACTCACATTGCTGGCTTTCTTCATTTTTTATGAAGTTTTTATTAGGCCAGAATCCTAGAAATTCCAGATTTTCTGCACAGGAAATTCAGTCCGACACCGGGGATGGATTGTAAAGCTGCCCCCTTCATGTGATTCTGTGTAACACAATCACTAAACACTAGCTCTGCCTTTGCACACAATACACTGTCGGGGGGGTAAGTTGCCACTATGAATACTAATGAATGGGGGAAGGGGGGTGGAGAGCTCAATAGTAATATACACAGATTGCTTGCAAAGCACAGAGGCAGCCATTTCCATGAGGATATGAAGAGGAAAGCTAATAAAAAAATTTAAGTTTCTGTGTTCATATACTTCGACTGCATATGCCTGCTTCATGTACATTGTGTACATTGCTGGCATATGTTGTTTTTTTAAAAATATCTCTGCAAAAAGGTTGGAAATGAGCTTTAAGGGTTCCTCGGGGGTAAAACGGTTGAGGAAGGCTGTGCTACTTTGTATACAACAGTTGCATATCCTTGTTAACGGAAAGGAAAAAAAAGAGAGTTAAACATGTCAGTTGCACAACATTCTTAGAGGAATTACAAACTGAAGTTATTAGCAAGTTCAAAACTTTGACATATTACAAAATAGTTATGTGTAAGCAATATAATGGTGATCGCCGTCCTGAAGTAAATCCAGAAACTAAAACATGATTATCCACCATTCCCCAATACTCTATTTGGCACTAAAAGGAAAACTGTAATGGCAATGAATGGAGTGGGGGGGGATAAGCTCATACATTGAAAAATGCACTCGACTGTGGGCCTTGTTCTGTTAATTTGACACCTAAAAGGTTCAGGTCTAAGCCACTTATAGTACTTACTGGACTGAAACTCCATCTTCTGTCAAGACATTTAAAGTTCAAGGAAATCTTTTGCACTCTGGAAGATGGGGAACAACCGATTAACTTTAAAGTGAAGTAAAGCCAAATCTTTTATTCATGTACTCCTGCGGCCTAAAGTCAGCAGATAGCAATCCAATGCCCACTCTCAGTTAAGAGCACAGAACCATGCTGCAGGCTCCTTTCAATATTGTTGGGATCTATTCTGGCTGACTGATTGACAGATGGTTCTGCCTCTCAAACTAGAGCCAGCCGTGCACGTGCCCTCTCCCCATCTGAGTGCTGGAGAAGAAAAGACGGAAGGGGGAATCCTTGCAGAGAGCAGTGACCATCACTCTCTGGTCTCTGCAGGGGGATAAGACTGAGAGCTCATTGATGAGCAGTTACATGATTGCCCAGAAAAATGGTATAAGGCTGGCATGTGGCAGCTGCAGTGTCCCATTGCAGGTTCTAAGCAGCGGGGAGAGAATATTTTACTTCCAACTGCATTTCCGTTTTAATGGCTTAGGCCATGATTTTCACGCAGTTCATCACCAAAGTAGAGGCATGGATGTCGAACATCCAAACATTCATAAAGTAGCCAATTTAAGTCTTGTTGAGACAACTAAAATACTGTTAGGGCTTGTTCACACCAAGCGCGGAGCAGATCCAGAGCAGAGCAGGTGCAGACTGGATCAAAACTGCGGCCAATGTATTCCTATGGTATTTTGAGCTCCAGTTCACATCGCAGCGTGCAGATCCAGAGCAGGTGAAAAAACTGCGGCAAGCCCTATTTTACCTGCTCTGGAACGCATCAAAAACGCATACAAACGCAAAAACGCATGCAAGTGCCTGAAAGCCCATGTTAACCAAAAATCGGCCCGGAACAACCCACCTGACCGGATCTGCATTTGGTGTGAACAAGGCCTTAAAGTTTCCATTTCATCAATCGTGTCATCTAAATATGACAAAATCCCAATGTCAGTGAAATCCTGTTCACTGAGAAAATAAAAATGACAGCCAGTTTAATTCAAATTGTTATTTTAGAAACATCTTAACTGGATCATTTTGGGTAAAGTATGATTCATATGAATTTAACAAGACACAAAGTAACAGTGTCAAAAACCCACAGAAACATCAAGCCATTTCAAATCAGCTTTTATCAGTTAATGCAGTCATAGTAATAAATAGTTCATAAGAAAAAGGATTATGTGATCATTGAACATTATCTGCTCTCTGCACTTGGTAATTAATCTGAATATACATTCACTTGCTGAATGAAGACAATACACACACACACAAAAATATAAAAGTTAACAAAGAAATCTTATTAAATTTTTCTGAGAAAATAAAAAATGGATATCAAGCGCACTCAGGTATAAGGGGACGCGTGAACAGGCTAGTGGTGTGCAACTCTGGATTAGCAGGTAGAGGTGTCCTTCAAGCAAACTAAAGGAAAAAACAAAACCAAAAGTGCCACAACCTAGCACAATAAAAGAGGGATACAATGATTAGTTAATACAAAGAAATGAAGATACACTCAAATGGTGCCTGGTGTAAATGCTCAATCTGGTGTACAATCTATGGAAATGGCAGCTTCAATGTTCAGAGGACTAACACTGTAGTAAGTGGAGCAGTCGGCTTTTTTGCGCATCAGTGGATACATATGGAAACAAAGTAGCTAATAGTTTAGATGGGACACCGGCCAGAATTGCCAGGAACAACGGGACTCACACTGCCAGCGCCCCACACACACACAAAATTAGTTTCCCCGCAGCTCCTGGTCCGGCCGTTACAAACACTGGCTACACTCCTCCTGTCCTCTGCTTCCCCACTGCCTCCCGTGACCAAACTCTCTCCGACTCTAGAGCTGTCACAACAACACTGTTGCCAGGACTCCGATACTCAGCACCGCTGCTTCACTCTGCAGAATCGGTAAGAAACATCCATGATCCAGAAGTGGCTGGCTCTCCTCCTCCGTCATCATCATCAGCATGGGGTGAGTGGACATTACACAGAAGAGTTCTCATACGCCTAGTTACTACACCAGCTGCGCTTTGGTTTTCCTCTTTCTTCTGCCCTATCGGTTCCAGAGCTGCTTCTCCAAACCAAGCTGCAGTCAACATTCCCCAGGCAGTTACTTCATGGATGTCCGCACTCTGCATCTGATTTATTAGCTACTTTGTTTCCATTTGTATACACTGTTAGACAAATAAGCCGAATGTTCCACTTAATACAGTGTTGCTCCTCTGAACATGGAAGCTGCCATTCCCATGGATTGGACACCTGATTGAGCATTTACAACAGGCACCATGTGAGTGTATCTTGATTTCTTTGTATTAACCAATCATTGTATCCCTCTTTTATTGCGCAAGGTTGTGGCGTTTTTGTTTTTTACTTTACTATTACGTTGATCTGTCTGCTGTACAGTTATTAACCCTGTAACACAGAGTATTTAGATTATTGTATTTAACCAAGTCAGTCCATGTGTGACCCTAAAATGAACTCTCCAGTGCAAAGAAAAAGTGAAAAATAGCTAAATTATTTTTGGCATGAAAGACAATAATCATATTAGTATATCACAAAGCACAATCAGATACACAATGAAACACTTTAGATGTCAGGGACCCACTCATTGCAATACTGCCCTTGGGAGAATTGATACAATGATTACGAGTTTATAGACTGTTGAACATGTGCCCTTGAATCAGGCACATAATGTGAAAGAAAGACCTCATCTGTGTAGATTAGATTTTTGTTTTAAAATACAGACAAAAAATGTGGGTTATAAGGCATGGAGTAGCTTCATAGAGTGTCCAATGCTTCTTTCACATCAGCCCCTTGTGACAAATCTTGCATAAGGAAGGTATACTTTCCAAAGTCAGAGTCACTAGGTTCTAGAAGCTTGTCTTTACGAGCTTTGGAAACCTTTAATTGCAAAACTTTTCTTCGTTCGTGCCATTCCGCCAATTCATCTCTTCCATGAGCAAATGGACAATCGTTTTCATTAGGACAACTCTGCGTCTCCTCAAACCTGGTAAGTAATATAATTTTAAAAAGATATTAAACTGCACAAATAAACTAACTTACCAGATATATCACTCAGTATCCAAAAGGATGCCAACGCAGCTTTATAGCAAAATAATTCCACAACATATGGCATTTGTAGTTTAAAGTAAATGCTAACAATTTGGGTTGTCTATAAGATCTTCTGCTGTCCGACACAAACATTTGATCAATCTTGCACATCTAACCATTATATTATGCATATAAATATGGTTTCCGTTAAAATGTAGTGTAAAATGTTAAAGTATGATATAATAGAAAAGTGTAAAAAAAGTTTTTACAGCAGTACATCAAAAACTATTTATAGGGGTTTTGTATATATTTTCTATTTTCTCGATTAATAGTGGTCAGCAGTAGAAAAAAAAAAACTTTTTGAAAAAGCCTTTTTCTTTAGTTATGTAAACATGAAATTGCACATATTATATAGTCTTCTATTGAGCCAACAGCTTGCACTTTAGGTTCTTTTCACTTTTTCCTGTCTTACCACCTATTGTAAAAGAGCCTGTTTACAGCTTAAAGCTTTTATAGCTTAAAGTAGTATTAAACTCTCAAAACGTTTTTCAATAATGAATCCAGATTAAACAAATACATTGTCCAGCAAAGTATTTTTCAGATTTTTTTCCCATGCACTTAGTCTTCATGTTTCTAAACAGCTGGCTCCAAATCGCTCAGCTCAGCTTCCTGTCCAGTACAAGATCACAAGGGACAGCGCAGTCTACAGCAGCTGTCCATATGTTATTATTATACAGGATTTATATAGCGCCAACAGTTTGCACAGCGCTTTACAATAATAGGAAGACATTACAATCACAATACAATTCAAGACAAGGTGTTAAGGAGGGCTCTGACCGTGAGGGCTTACAATCTAAAAGGGAGCGGGAAGTGATAGATAAGAGGTAGCTGTGTGGTGATGAGTTGTTTGAGAACGTGATGGTTGAGCGGTTAGGTTGAGGTGGGATAGGCTTCAATGAAGAGATGAGTCTTTAGGGAGCGCCTAAAGGCAGTTAAGATGGGAGACAGACGGAGACAGGTTGGGGTAGAGTTCCAGAGGATGGCAGAGACTCTACAGAAGTCCTGGAGGCGAGCATGGGAGGAGTTGACAAGGGAGCTGGAAAGCAAGAGGTCTTGGGATGAGCAGAGTGGACGGCTAGGGTGATACTTTGAGAGATATATCCGGTGGCGGAGTTGTGGATGGCTTTGTAAGTTGTTGTTAATATTTTGAATTCTATCCTTTGGGGAGTGGAAGCCAGTGGAGGGATTGGCAGAGGGGGGTTGCAGACACTGAGCGGTTGGTCAGGTGGATGAGTCTAGCAGCTGCATTCATAATAGACTGAAGGGGGGATAGCCTGTGTAGATGTAAGCCAATGAGGAGGGAATTGCAATAGTCAAGACGAGATCTAACAAGTGAGTGGATGAGTAATTTTGTGGTTTCATTGGTGAGAAAGGGGCGTATTTTGGAGATGTTACGGAGGTATTTGGATAGGGATTGGATGTGGGGAAGAAAGGTGAGGTCCGAGTCAAGGATGACACCTAGGACCTTGGCATAGGAGGAGGGCTGGATAGTTGTGTTAACAATCTCAAGGGAAAAGTTGGGGGAAGGTGCACGGGCAGGAGGAAATAGGACAAGGACACAGAGGGGGTGAGTTGGGGAGTAGAAAGATACAGGTGAAACTCAAATAATTAGAATATCGTGCAAAGGTTCATTTATTTCACTAATGCAACTTAAAAGGTGAAACTAATATATGAGATATACTCATTACATGCAAAGCAAGATAGTTCAAGCCGTGATTTGTCTTAATTGAGATGATTTTGGCTTACAGCTCATGAAAACCACAAATCCACAATCTCAGAAAATTAGAATATTACATGCAATAAAACAAGGATTGTACATAGAACAATATCGGACCTCTGAAAAGTATAAAGTGTCATCGGCATAGAGATGGTTTTGGGAAGCCATGTGAGGTTATTAACTGACCAAGGGAGGAGGTGTAGATAGAGAATAGAAGGGGTCCAAAGACAGAGCCTTGCGGAAACCCCTACAGAAAGAGGGAGGGGAGGAGTTAGAGTTGTAGGTGGCGCTAAAGGAGCGCTTAGATAGGTAGGAGGAGAAGCACGAGAGAGTAGAATCTAGTAGGCCAAGCGAGTGGAGTTTTTGGAGGAGGAGCAGGTGGTCAACAGTGTCGAAAGCAGCAGAAAGGTCTAAAAGCAAGAGTAAGAATAGTGGCCATTGTTTTTAGATGTTAGTAAGTCATTTGTGAGTTTTAGGAGGGCGGTTTCAGTGGAGCGTAGGGGGCGAAAGCCAGACTGTAAGGGGTCGAGAAGGTTATCAGCGAGGTGGCGACTCAGGCGGCTGTAGATAAGGCGTTGTAGGAGTTTGGAGGTGAATGGGAGTAAGGAAATTGGTCTGAGATTGTTCGTCGGTAAGGTCCATTGAGGGTTTTTTGGGGATTGGTGTGACCTTGGCATGCTTTAGAGGGGAGGGGAGTGAAAGATGCCAGTAGAGAGTGAGAGATTGAAAATACGAGTAAGAGAGAGTGTAGGATGGAGCAAGAGGGTGACCGAAGTGGTGAGGGAACAGGGTCCAGGGGGCAAGTGGTGAGGTGGGTGTCAGAGAGAAGCTTTGTAACCTCCTCTGTGGTGACAGGGTCCTCAAGAGGAGAGTAACAAGTGTGTTGGTGGGTTTGGAACATGAATTGGGGAAGGTGACTGCACAGTGGCGATCTGATCCCAAATTGTATCTATTTTGTTTTTTAAATGAACGGCAATGTTCTGGGCAGTGAGTGAGTTAGTGGGTGGGTGGTAGCGGTGGAGGAAGTAGAAAAGAGTTGACGAGGTTTGGATGAGAGTGTGTTAATGAGAGTGACAAAGTAAGTCTGTTTGGCAGCACGGAGGAAGGAGTTATATTTTAGGAGGGCAGCTTTGTACAGGGTGAAGTCTTGCAGAAGCCTAGTTTTTCGCCACAGTCTTCAAGAGCACGGCTATGTCTTTTTAGATGTCTGGTTTCTTTTGTTTGTTATACTAGCTTAGAAAAGGGAGGAGGGAGAAGCATAGTGCAAGGGAAAGGGAGCGGCTTGCCTTGCTGTGCCTGTGTGTTTGTGGAGACACATGGAGCTAACTAGCACAAACAAGGGTGGCCCCATAGGACCCCGCAAGGGAAAGGAACCACCCTAAAACAAGATATCAAGGCGAGTGCTCAGGAGATCAGCTGATTCTGCAGCAAACTAAACATTTTAAACATTAAGGGGGAGCATCCATTGCAAGGGATTTAATAAGCATTTAAAATTACTTAAAAACCTTTTGACTTTAATATATCACTAACTGCAGGTGATCAGGTCCGATGTAGGCCTTCAGCAAGATTCCAGCATAAGCTGTCTGCTGACAAAAAAAAGGAACACAGTGCCCTCCAGAGATGTTTTCTTCCTGCCATGCAGGAGATGAGGTGCAGCCAAAAGTGCAAACCTCTTTCCCCAGAATGGAAACTGCAGGTTGAAGAGGGTATGAAGGAAGTGCAGAAATCAGCAGAGCGCAGGTCAAGGAACTTGCAGCAGAATTCCTCTCAAACCAGGACAAACTGTTCTGCAGAACTAGACACAAGCCACACATATGACAACACCCATGCAAATGGCGTTCACGCAGGATAGGACACAGTCCTCCACATGTAGAAGTGGGGGTGCACCCTCACATAGAAGGCTTAACATAGGGGTGAACTGACCTCTAGCTTTGAGCTCTATGGCCTGAGTGAGGTTAGGACTCAGAAAGTCTAAGATTCCTTCTGAAGATCTCCTGCACACAGGCAGAAGCCCACTTTGATTGTCCATGACAATGCCAATGACTGGGTCAAAAGCAGGTTGGAAGAGACAATGTCCCTTGAAAGGTAAACTAAGCAATCGTTCCTTGGACACCACCAGTGTCCAACACATCGCCAGAGTGTCCTACACAACCCACACGCCAAATCACATCAAACATTGGCAGCCATCATAAAACTTAAAACAGAATTGAAAACAATTGCCAAACAAGTAGTGGAGTCCAGACATGATTTATTGTTCACAATATGCATTATAGGGACAAGGTGTTTCAAGGGTTCTGAGGGACCTTCTTTATCAGATCTTTAAATTGTTAGGCAACAGAAATGTAGAATGTAGAAGAAAGGCATTTTGGGTAGTTGCAAGACCAGTGCCTGGAATAAGCTCGGAGTATTCCTGCTAATCGCATTCCCAGTGCTGATCATTTGTACGCTAGATTTAACAATGAAAAGCCCTAAGGAAGTGTGTCCCTGAACAACTGCAAAACACCTGAAATATGTTAATTTTTTAACAAACATTGGACAATGATTATACCTGATCTCAACTACTTGTTTGTCTTTTTGTTCTTCTATACTATACTTAAACCAAGAGACTAACAGTGGTTTCTATGGGGAACCTAAACTACACTTGGGGGTCCAGCAGTTCAAAACCTCTGATTTTAACGTACCGTAGAGATTTGAGGTTGGCCATATCCATGTATTATAACATTACCTGCACACTCACCTTTCACACAACTTGAACTCCCCTGCTGGGAAGCGATACTTCCAAGGACTGTCATCGCTTTCCAAGGTGAACACACGGTCCTTATGCTTCTCCGATTGAATGTGTTTCTGCCACTGCTTCTCACTATTGCTGTTTTTTCCACAGAGATAGCAGTGAAAGCCAGCCTTTAAGAAACAATGAAAAACAGATGAAATGGGATACAACCTACAAAAAAAGTCTGCTTATTTACCAACTACTTAAAAGCACTTGACAGAGAACAACATTTTACCATAAGATCAGCATAATCCGTTGGCATCAGAATCTGTTTCTCGGTATCTTTCTGGGCTCCCGCTGCTAGCTTCCCAGGTTTCTCTGCTGTGATGTTGCTCTTGTTACACAAGTCAAAAAGCTGCTGCAGATCCAGCACTGACAAGAGAAAACCATGATTAAAACAGAGTGAACATAATTTCACTAGACCTGTTTGATGTACAAAACCAAAAAATTATCGTTTTGCAGTGTATGCAAACCCCAACAGTTAAAGGATAATTAAACCCTCTGGTGTTTTTGCATATATCTACTGCTATCGAGCAGTAGATATATGCAAAAAGTGTAAAAAAGTGTAAAAAAAAAACAAAACGCTTTGAAAAGGGTTAATACTTACTTGAGTCTTCCCCACGCGCGCTCCCGTCTGAAAATGTGAAAATTCTCGGGTGGCCGCAAAGCATCTTGGGGCGTGCGCAGATCACATTTTCGGCCGGGACGCGAGAAGAGACACAAGGTAAGTCTATGGATGCGTGCACCCGCATGCAGACACCGTGGGACAGGAAGTACCAGCAAGCTCAGAGGAGTCAGCGCTGGATCGGAGACCCACCGCAGCGCTGGAGGGACAGATGAAAAGGAGAAGAAAGAAGAAGATCGGATTATGAAACAATTTAAGGTAAGTGCTGACATTAACATTGGGGGGAGGGAAAAAGATTTTTGACTTTAATGTCACTTTAACTTCTCTTATTTGCCCTTTTTTGGTGTGCTAAATATATTTATCTGATACAAAAAAATTCTCTACTGATACGTTCCTGTGCACAAGGAGGGGTTATAGAGATGAATGGGGGGAAAGGGAAGTGGTGTGTTTTTTTGTAACACCTCAGAAATAAAGTAGGCAGTGTTGACAACACATGCTTTGGAATTCAGTGCCAAAAATAAACTGTGTTGTTTATTTTTCACCTTGTCTTTGTCAAGTCAAAGACAAGGTGAAGAGGACAATATAGTACTGGCACATCAACAGTTATTTTTCTGTACTTGCAGTGTGCTTAAAGCGATAAAACATGGGGAAATGTGCATGCGGTGCAGAAATTGTACCAATATGTTTTCCTTTTACCATTGCTTTGACACACTCTTTTTAAAAAGGAGAGAGCTGGTGTATTCAAGTCTAAAAAAGTAATTGATGCAATTTGTTGGCAGCTTTAACCAGCAACTCCAAGCACCAATAGGTAAATGGTATGGTTATGCTGAATACATTGTCAAATTATGACGTATGTGACGCATCAATAAAAGTGCTTATGCTTCTTGCACATTACAAGTGAGTGCTGGTGACTTCTATCATATTAATGTTTGCGACTCACTGCATATGTTTTGTGACATTTCGCACAATATTTCAACTGCGCAGTATTTATGTACAGCATTTGTGACAGTAAAAGACCTCCAAACAGACACACATTCTAGAAGTGCTCCTGAGCACTTCTTCAACTATCGCAAAGACGACTCATGCCCTCAAGTCAGCTAATCAGGCTATTCAGCAGTTATCCAGGAGGTTCCCTGCAAGCTTGCAACAGTTTATAGAGACAATTTAGAGACAGAAAAATACAGACAGTTTTGAAACAATTCTACGGTATAAAGGCATTTAGGAATGAAACCTAAACTAAGATAATAAACCTGTCGCTATATGCACTAGAAACAAGGGTAATAAGAGTTTGAAAGATGCTGATGATGCGAGAACATTGATAAAATTCCCCCCTATGTGTTGACTCACACAGGAAAATTCTTGGCCATGGTTTTATGTGGATACAGGTGGGATGCATACCTAGCAATAACAAAGCATAAACATCTACTATAACTAAAAAAAAAAAAAAAAAAATATTTTCTCCCACTTCCCCTAAATTATAAAAAATGCCATATATCATCAAAACAATAAAGAAAAGTAAATGGCTTAAGCCATTAGGGAACTGCACCAACCTTTGTTCTCCTTCATATATGTCCAAACGTCTTTCTCCTCTGTGCTGTGCGCAAAAGTGCAGTTCCCAATATACTGACACTTCTTTCCATTCTGCACATGGACACAGATCTGTGTATAAAAGCAGCAAATGGTTCATTAGCTTATTACAATCTTGAAATATTTTCGGCATATTTGTATTTATTGAAAAAGTTAGAAAATCACCAGAAATTCTGTGATTAGCATTTTAAATAGATGTATATTAGCAAAAGTCACTGTATTAGAAACTACACTCTACATTGGTCTATCTTACTGGTCTATCTAAACTGAATCTGGGGACTTAAATTTACCTTTTAGTGGCCTCGTGTCCATTGAGTAAATACTGGTGTCTGATGACATCCTTAACCCCTTCGTGACTGACGACGTACAGTGTACGTCGCCAGCATCGGGGCTGTTTAAACAGACTCCCGGCGACTAATCTTTAAATACAACATGGCATGCTTTACTGTGCAAATATCAACCACTGCTTGTGTTACTGTGCAGCCTCTTAGCAGCCACTGCATTACTGACCATTAAAAGGTGATGATTGACCTAAATAGTCAAAAAAAGCTTGAATGCAGAAGCTGTGGCCGATATTTGCATAACTGCGCACCACCCAAGGAATATCTCCTCCCTCACCCCTCTTCCCTGTTTTAGGAAACTCAACTTTAGGAAACTCATGATTCTCTTATTGAGCTGGTACAACAGGGCTACAATAGCAAAAAATACTGCAGCTCCCAGCTTTATCCTGGAACACCATTTGCTCATCCCTTCACCAGAATCCAATGAAGAAAAACAATTAGCTCAAATGGGAGCTTTGCAAGCTCAAGTGCAGTTTAAAATGCTGATGTTGTCTACCACAAAAATACATAAATACTGACACCACCTTCTTTGGCTTAATTTCACTGCCTCATGATGATGCCATCAGTGAAAGATGGCACATAGTGTCGGCCATCCATAACTGGGATAACGGTTACTGGGGGGAAAAAAACGTGTCAAAGACACAATAAACATGGTAAAAAAAAAAATATGTACTAATATATGTGTTAATAGAAGGAACAACTGTGGACACGAGGTACAGAGGGGACGTGATGCTCCACACCACTATATCAAACTATTTTAATGAAAAAAATATATAAAGGATAACTAAAACAAAAAACACCTACACATACTAAATCTTGAAGATATAACACAAAAGAACAGAAATGGGAAAAATGAAAAAAAAAAATGTTCCCTACAAAGCAGTGTTGACCCCCTAATGTACTTCAGTCTTGCATGAATTGCAAGAATACAGGTTTTGTCACCACTCCTACTGGGTTAAGAATTTACTCAATAACCACTCCGTGAAGTTCGTGAATTTGGTACGCTTCCTGTAGAAAATGATTGACAACAGTTTTGTCGAGATTGACGGGATGCTGGAGACTGTTTTTCAAGATATAACAGATGTCACTTTTTTGTTCTGGAATCAACTCTTAAAGGATCCAATAGTCAGACATACATGAGAGTAGGGATGGGTGAATCTGCGCAGGTTTGTATTTGCCAAGGTGCAATGAATACAGTTTGAAGTTCAGAGAACCCGAACTTAGACGTAAATCCTGTAATTCAATTCTAGCTGTTGTTGGGCTAAAAGACAACTGCCAAAAAAAGGCATGGGGAAACTGGGCTCTGCTATGGGAAACATGTACAAATGCAGTGTGGATTGGGAAGTGCGGTGAATGTAAGATATTTGGGGGAATTTATGAACAGGTTTGTGGCAACATTTTTAGTTGCAAATACCAAAATGTTATGATAACGACAACGTTTAATTTCTGTTATGAATCTTTTTTTAAAGGAGAACTATGAGGTGAGTGCTTTTCACTCACCTCATAGTTCTAGCCGACCTGTGACCTGTGACAATGAGACTGTCACAGGTCGGCTTAGTAAATCGGGGAGGTGAGCGAACACATACCGGGCTGCTCTGGCTGCGGCGTCTCAGTATACCGCGAGCTGTAGCTCACAGTATACTGAGCTTAGGGTAACGGGAGGACGCTAGTTTGTGTCCTCCCGTTACCCTAAGGAGAACTATGGGGAAAAACACTGACCCCATAGTTCTCCTTTAAGTGTTCTTGCGACATAAAGTTTGTGACTCATTGCATATGTTCTGCGACATTTCTCATCCTTTTTCAACTGTGCAGTAAATGAATCCAGCATTCAGCTGTCCTCCAGAAGGTTCCCAGCATGCTGGTGACAATTTAGAGACATCTTTCCTCACAAAGGCATTTAGAAATGAAACATGAACTATGATAATAAATACAGTATGTCGCTATATGCACCAGAACTCAGGGATACTAAAGTTCTTTTTTTTCCCCAATTCTTTATTTAACAATCCACCAATGTACAGGCAGTAGAAAAATGAAAACTTCCTAAATTGCACTTGTACAAAGTACATAGACACATGGGTTCCAAAGAAAAACAGAAAAACACTAAAAAGTAGCAAGAGATATAAAAAGTAGGTACAGTCAGAAGGACAAAACAATAGAAGGAGAAGAGAGAAACAGGCAAATCTGCATAACTGAGCATCACTGTTGCTCCGCCTTTATTGTCAGGTTTAAGTATGATGGATTTGTTCTTTTTATTGAGTCTAGAGATTACTTTTCCTCTAAACTGAAGTTAAAGCCATGCTTGCTTTTTTCCTGTCATCAGTGATGACACAACAGAATACGGCACACTTTGAATGCATGCAGCTTTGCTGGGAATCCACCGATCCCCATCCCAATTTTGGAATCATAAGGGGGGCAGAGTTTGACATACTACTATATTTATGTACTTTTGAACATGCTAGTGTGGCCATGCATACTGCACATAACCTGAGGGGGTGGTCCTTGGTAGACATGACCTATGTACTATTGGTAGGTTTAGGTAATAAATTGTTTGTATGGTGTGCTAACTCGTATCTCACACCTTGAGAAAGGGGACCTGCAGGACTCTGAAACATTGGTGGTCTTACTGGTGATTTGTTGAGTCTGTAACCATAATTGTGAAATCTTTCACAAATATGGTTACAGGCAAGGGAATCACTTGTAAAAGAAGACAGAGGGGGGAAAAACTCGGCAGAGGTACTAATCCTTTCTCACTATATTAAATGAAAGCAATTTGCTCTCTCTCTCACTACATCTTATCCCTGTGGCCCCGTCACCACACAGAAAGTGCAAAAGAATCTTCCCAATTAGGACACAGACAGCACCAAAAAAAAAACCCAGCGGAGGGGCTGGATTCCCCCCCTCCCCGCTCCGATGTGAATGTAAAGTGCTGTGTAAATTGTCGGCACTATATAAATACCTGAATTAATAATAATTACTCTAATGCAGGTAGGCTCCATAAATTATAAAAGATGCAACAGTGAATTTTCTTTTTTATTAGCTTTCTAGCATTTGGCAGCCTTTGATAATATTCCCTGTGCTGGCAGCACATTGAAGCTCTGCACATTGAGCGCAGCAGTCCACATATCAAGTGGTCTGTCATCCACCCTGCTCTGAGCAACAACGCTCACACATCTTGAACAGCATCGTTATTACAGCAACGCACAGGAGGCATGTCAGATCTCTGGATCTTCAGTATGCCGCCAACACAGGGAATTTTAATAAAAGCTGCAGCCCTAGTATGTTAAAGTAGAAACCACTTGCATATCATTTACCTTTTATGAAGCCCGACTGCATTACAGCAATCAAAATGAAAGGTTTACTTGGCGTTTAATGCATGCTTTTAAGGGTATGTTTTAAATCTGTAAGTTTATTAACCACGCCAGTAATCCCAGTTTCCATATTTCTATCCTATTGTCTTCAATTTGACCTACCTGGGTCTGATACACAGAAGGACGCACATTATCCAAGCAGGAAAGGTGGCAGTCTCACTCTTTGTTATAGGAACTAATTACTAATTATTAGTAGTGTCTTCATTCTAGCAGTCAAAATTAATAAAGTCTTTCTTTACTACTCTGTATACAAATTTGAAATAAAGTTATTAGCAGCTTGCACCACATAATATACTAAACCAGACTACAGACACCAAGAATAAATGGCACATAGTAGTAATACCTGAAAGTGGTAGCAAGAATTCAGAGCCAGCTAGAGCATGCTACAGTATAATTACTATGTTCTCTGCTGTTATACCGAAGGTTGTCTCCTACTAACATCATCCAATGTGGAATTAGCCATGGACTTGAGAGCATCTCCTAAACCCCCTACTCAACACATACTGTACATCTCTCTCCCTTTGGGCTCCGTACATTAGGGTAGTGGTAATTTGGGGAAGGTCACTATTTGTGCTCTTTAAATAAAATACTATCGGCAATCCCTGCTTATTTTACATTCTAATATTTAGCAAGGCAGACCTGACATACACATTCTTATCTTATTTTGCTACAAACATGACTGGATAGGGGAGGAAAGAATGCAAGACCCCTAATACACAAAAAACGAATAATTACTAAAAGGTGCAGTTATCACACACCAGAAGTACTGCATGGTAAACATGTAGCTGTATAATATAATGCTGTTATGTTGCGCTGGGTCCTGGGTGAACAAATCTAACAATAGATTTGTAAAAAATGTTTACGTAAAAATATTTAACTAATTACAAATAATTAAATAAATATAATCAAAATCCTTGGTAGAAATCGTAGTGCAAGTGAGCACCTCATATTTAACACCAGTATTCATGCATCCAAACCTAAATATACACACGAATATATATATATATATATATACACACACACACATATACACACACGATAGATATATATATATATCTAGGTTTTTTTTACCCTCCTGAGATAGATAATTTTTCATATTTTGTGAAAGTCTGTGCTTGAATATGTTTCCCCAGTAGGCTAAAAAGTAATTCTCAATACTTAAATAATGACACTGGTGGATGTGTTGGCAGAGTAATCCTCTACCCCTACCCCAACAATTGATGGTAAAAACGGGGGGTGTGATTACTTCCTTTTCCTCATGAACATCCCAGAAGGAAAAAGTTCTGTTGGATTGTCTCCAAAATGTCAGTAAGCTTGCTCCAAAGCAATCCTTTTTGGTTTCCTTAATTATCCACTTCCTCACTCTGTCTCCAGATGGCTTAGCTGGATGCAACTCTCTCCTTCCCCTCCGGTCTATAAATGTGAGCCAGTCCTGGAATTTGAGTGGTGTTTGCTGTGGATTACCTAAACAGTCTCAAGTATCTTAGTTTCCTTATAGGTATTGGACGTTTTACACAAAGAGCAGAAGTGCAACTTTAATGTCCAATAGAGTGCATTGGATGGGAGGATGCCAAGAGACATTCTATAGCCAGAGTGGAGGGGGGGGGGGAGGGGGAATCCCAACTGCAAGGGTTAAGTTTTGTGACTGGTCTAGCCAGGCGGGTGCCAGGTTCGGGTGAGTATATCTGTTATTTTAGACCCTAGATGAAAATGAGCACTTAACCCTTCCAGTGCGAGGGTAGCCCCACTGCATGGATTAAGTTTTCTTCTGCCTGGAGTTCTTCTTTAATGCAACCCAATCTACTATAAAATTTCATTAAAAATGAAGTAGAGAAAGCTGTAGAAAAAAATATATGTGAAAACAAAGTCCTTCTCACCTCATACTGCTGTGGAAAAGAGCGAATGGATGGGAGGGGTCGGATGGGAATCCACTTCTTTTTTGACTTAGACATCAAAAGAAATACACGTTTATCTTTTGTCCAGCTGCCAAGAACACATACAGAATGAATAAAGATAAACATGACATAAGAAATATGTACAAGAAGACAAACTTACAAATCCTTTACACATTAATGGTCTGCAACCTTTTATGTCAATTACTATACAATGGCAAGCCATAAATATGGTAAAGCCTCTTGCCTTGTCTGAAGCCACAATCCATGCTGTGATCCCTGCAAAAAACCTAGAAAAAAATACCAACCTTATCATATGGTCAGCACTCTGTTAAGCATGCCTAACAATGTGACAGCGCTCTGGCCCGGTGATTAGTTCCATAAAGGCCAAGTTTACCTTTTAGATCATATCTATGGGGCAACTTAAAACATGGTCACATTGAACCTCCCCTACTCCACTTATTTAGATTGCGGGGTTAGTCTCACTGTAAGCTGGTGTTGATCTTTGAAAATGGTGCGGCTGTGCAGGGCTCTGCTCACACACCCACATCATCAGAGATGATCACGTCACAGATCCTTTGGCAGAATGTGAACGGAGAAACTGCAAGTTCCATCAGCCACCACAGCAGAGGGACTTGTAGCACTTAATGGAACACAAGTGCAGTGACTTCACCCCACTTGTCATTTCCATTTATTCCTATTCTGAATGAGCCAGAGCATTGCACCACAATCCACTGATTGCAGTTGCAATGCTTTACTGGCTCTTATGCCAAAAAATAATAGATGCACATTTTTTTTTATATATATGAAGAGTTTTGTGGAACAGCAACAGAAGGAGTGAAGCATAAGAACAGAGAGGTGGGACCGGTGTCCCTTAATAAAATCCAAGAAAATGTAAGTCAAAAATGCGGCTTGCTCTATTTTGTTGCGTTTCCAGTGGAACGGAAAACAGGCAATGTTTTGCCGTGCGTCTGATCGCACTGCGGGTGGGGGCGGGTGTGGCTGCATTGCCATTGACTTCAATGCACCACGCCATGATGCCTCCCTTCCGCCCCTGATCACGGGGAAGTTTTGTGAGCAGCTACCGCTCTGGAACGCACCACAATTGGTGTGAACAAGCCCTTAAACATTCCTTAATGAACACAGGGTGAAGTAGTCTTAAAACACTGGGACATCCAAAAGCAGGCCAACTGAGGGGTGCGCGACACAGCAAACAAAAAACACCAAAAGGCCTACAAGTAACAGGCTAACAGATCGGGGCCCGACATAGCTTACAGAGCCACTTGAAGAACCTTATGACCAAAGCTGGCACCAAATGAGGCCTGAACATCCACATGGCAAAGTCTAAACAACATGTTAACAGAACACCAAGTTGCATCCTTATGAACTTGAGAAACAGATGTGGGAACACCCATGAAGCACTAACTGATCTAGTAGAGTACACCTTGACAGGGAAAGGTAGAACCTGGTGCTTAAACCTATAGGCTTGAATGACAGGCTGTTGAAACCACTTAGAAAAAGTGCAGTGAGAAAAAGATTGTCCCCTACAGGGACCCTCAAGAATTATGAAGAGAGTCAGTCTGCTAAAAGAAGATGTAGCTGAGAGTTAGACTGGAATAGCATGTACCACATCCAGACAGAGGACATTTCCTTAAGATGTCTAGGAGCAGGTCAGAGAGAAGGGAGAACAATGTCCTAGTTGAGAAGGAAGAAACCACCTGGGGGTAAAAAGAGGACTTAGACATTGATACAACCTTGCCTCTGTTTAACACCAGAAAGGGTTCTTTACAAGTTAAGGCCGTCAACTAAGAAACCTGCCCCACAGAGGTGATGGCAATGAGGAGGGCAACCATGTGAGTAAGAGTATACCGAGTAATATCCCTGATGGGTTCAAAGGGGAATTTCCAAAGAACCAAGGCTGATATTCCCACAGATGCCACTGAGGAGTGTACAGGGGGAACAATGTGTAGTGCCTTCACTATGGAGCGAGAGACAAGCAGTCTTTGCAAAAGATTAGTTGGGGCTGAAATTTGACCTTTATTGGTATTCAAAACCAAAATGATGATCCAGGCCAGACTGGAGAAGAAAAAAAAAAAAAGACAGGATTCATCCCACAGAGTACTTCCTGGGATTAAATTTGCAGAACAGGAGAAGTAGTAGTTATAGAGTAGGAAAGGAATAGATCAGGTCGAATTGTTTCCACAGTCACCAAAACATCCACTGCAATATCTAGAGGATCACTGGACTCAAAGGCTGGAAGGCAAGAGGTCCACGCCTGATATTCCTCCCCATGACAGAGATCTTCTGGGTGGAGAGACCATTACTCAGACAGTCCAGACATTGTTGACTGAGGAAATCCACCTATCAATTTTTCACACCTGGAATGTGCACGGCAGAAGAGCTGAAACATGAAATACTGCCCCAAGCCAGAATCTAATCAGCTTCTTCTGAAGCAAGACTTCTGGCTCCCCATTAATGGTTGGCGCAAGCCACTTCTGTTTCACTGTCCAACTAAATCATTGTCAGATGATCTTGTATTTAAGATCACATGAGAATGTCATCACCTCAGTATGCCAAGCCTGTGCACTGCCCTACACATGTGCAGCTCAGTGTACAGGGGAAAAAACAAAAACTTGCGGAGACAGCCGGAAGCGGTTATGGCTGAAGAGACTTAACCAGTCTCTTCCGTTATAGAAAGCCTGCCTAACACCAATTTTCTTTATTTTTTTCAAGCTAAATTCGAGTTTAACCTTCTTTTGCTAGGGCAAAAGGGTGCTCTTCCACCCAGTGAATAAATTATCTAGGAATGCACCAAAGAGGCGTCCCCCCACCAAAGGGGAAATGCAATAAGCGTTTCATTAACTCATTTTCTGTAGACCAACATTTAAGCCAAAGAGTCCTCTGCATGTGTACCCAAATGAGACTCATTCTGCATATTAGGAGTATTCTAGCCATTAGCCCGTCACTACACAGTAATGTAAGGCCACAGGTATGAGATCCAACTGTTGAAGGACTGAAGAAACCATAAGCATAGATCCAGGATCTAGAGACATATCCTTGGACCAGCAAAAACATAGGTTAGCAGGCTAGCTAATAAGTTTGCTGGGAAACTTTAGTGTTTATATCCTTGGACCAGACGCCGAATGTCTGTCAGAGGGACAAGGCTGCAATGGCAGGTTGGAGGACAGGGCCTGCCAGCGTGACTAAGGCCTTAGTTAACCACAGGATCATCGTCTTGTTAAGAAAGGAAATGGCTGGGTCTGCTACAGGGACATCCCACTGTTCAAGAAGTGCCTCCTCAATAGGATATTGTTGAGCAAAGCACTTAGGAGGCATAAAGACTGGACTAGGCCAATCACCATACAAAACTAGAAGCAGTAGTAAGTGCAATGGAAACTGCCTGGGGGCTTTTAAGAAAGAAAAAAAAAAATTTCGGCAGTGGTTATACCCAGATGATTATTTTTATGCAAGTACAATATTACTCTTACCGGTAAATTTCCATTACTCCTCTATGGCAGGCCCATATATCACAACCAGTTGATGTGTTGTATACCATTCTCGGTCCTCTAAGTACCGAGGACAAACTTTGTGTGTGGCACTCTTAATCCTACACTGCAGATCATCTATATGAGCAAGGGTGCTTTTACACCAATGTTTCTCTTGGTATTTAATATAGTTAAACACAATTATATAGACCTTAACAGAAAAACCACACTACATCAGTCACTGTCCAAGGGAGACCACAATCCAAGTTCCTACCATACTTATTACACACACTAGGGCCAGTTTGTGAGGAAGCCATTTAACCATTGGACTGTGATAATACTGGACTGTGGGAGTAAACCAGAGGGGAAAAAAAAATGAAGGGAACATGCAAACTCTATGCAGACTGTGCTCTGAACATAATTCAGAGACAGAACCCAGAGCTACAAGGCAAGAATGCTAATCTGCTGCTGATTTCATTGTAATGCAGTTGTGAATAGGCTGTTTATATACCTATGTCTTGCTTTAGCTGCACAGTATTTCCCATCTCGATCAGCATCTATTTCTCTCCCATTCCGTAAACACTGTCCACAGACAAACTTAAACTTCATGTCCATTGGTTTAGGTAAGGGCTACAAAAGCAAAGATGAGAAATTTAGAGATAATAGTGGGTGTTAACTATAAGCAAAAAAAACAGTTTTTATAGTTTTTGACAAAATATAACTTCAAATGGATACATTAATAGACACCAAAAACGTATCCATTTAGCATTGATGATTTATGAGACATTTTCCTGCTACATCTATTACCAAGTACTGACCCAGAACAAGTTTGCAAAATCTTTCCTGACCTGCATATTTATATCGAGTCAGGAACAGAGGAAAGTACTGAAACCATTAATTCAGCATGACAGGCAAAAACATATTCAGGGTAAATCAGCAATAGCAGCCGCCAAGCTTCCTCATTCAGGTTTCCTTTGAGCCAGTGATCCATTACTTCATTATATATGCAGACACTAAACATGATACTTGGTGTGTTGTAATAACCGTAAAATTATTTTAACTTAAAGAAAGCCTGTAATAACATAATATCATGCAAATTAAGATTGACAATGTACAGTAGGCACCCGCCTGCCCAAACTGTAAGCAAAGACAAAAAACAAAAATGTAACCCCCCCCACAACTTCCAGGTAAGGGGAGACGTACAATA